TAAGTGCATCAGCTTGGTTCTTTCTTTTTTCTCTTTTAAAGATTTATTTACTTATTTATGCATACAGAACTGGGGTATAGGCCAGAGGTGTAGGGGTGGTGAGAGGATTCACCAGAGACAGAGTGGGAAGCAGAACACAGACTGACTGAAATACACTGCTGAGGGGAGCAGTGGGCAAGACAGGAGAGGTCTGCCACGCCATGTGGGTCACCTCTGAGGCGGGGATCAAACACACATTGGAGCAGCTCCAGCCAGCTTACAGTGCTGCGTCCTAACCCATTGTGCCACCAGGGCGGGCCCTCTTTTTCTCTTCTGCCTCTCCACTCCAAAGCTCTATCAGGCTGCTCCCAGTTATGGGGGAGGTAGAGAGACAGCACAGCACCTCACTATAATGTTGTGCGAAGAAACAAAAAGGCCCTTTTCCCCTCTCTAAGACCCTTCCCAGGAGACCCATCCCCTCACACTGGCTAGCGCCTGGAGCCACCGCCCATCCTTGGACGAGTCACTGGTAAAGAGCTAGGCTGACGGCTACATGCCAACACGTCTAGGACTGCAGGGGAGAGGGTGGACATCAGCACCCCTTCTGGATTCTACAGCATCAGTGTAGACTGCCTTGGGTTGCATGCCCCTTCTATACCCCCTCCACTCAGGCCCTGTCCTGGGACTCTCCAAGGGAGACTATCAAAATGGTAAGAGCTTGGATTCAGGTGTCAGGCAGACCTGGGTTCACATTTCAGCTTTCCGTTACCCGGAGGAGAGGCGGGTCTCAGATTCAGCTTCTTCATCTGCAGGTTCAGATGACAAGGATGAATTTCATAGAGCTGTGAGAGCTAAATCTACAAAATTCTGTCAAAAGCCTGGCCTGGCATCTGGTCCACAGCACATTAGTAAACCTGAGCTCCTCCCCCTTGGCCTCTTCTGGGTACACGTTGAGTAGGAGGAGGGTCTCTTACCCCGACCAGCAGGGGAGGCAAAGGAAAAGTGCTGTGAAGGCCATGCCCGGGCCCAACATGGACTGAGGCCACAGCCTCCCAGATCCAGGTTTCTCCCTGGCTCCCTCTCTTCTAGTCAACTCTTGGGCCTCTAGGGAGACCCAAGGACAGAAGCTTAAACACCTGCACCTTTCCTAGGGCTCCACCTGACTCAGGGGCAAAGGCACGCCCCATGAGGATGTGATCAGTGTCCCCTGTACCAGGAGGGGCAGGGAGGGAGGGAGGAAGGCGTGGAGGCCCTGACCAGGGAACCAGGCCCTACATACATCCCATTAGACTATTTGCTCTTTGTTCTCTCACAGGAGGGCCATAAAACGCAATGTCTGGCTGAGGTGCCCTTTCCAGAAGGGCACCTGTGAGATCACTCAGAAGACCCGGAGGCAATGCCAGGCCTGCCGTTTGCAAAAGTGCCTGGAGAGCGGCATGAAGAAGGAAAGTGAGTGGCGGGAAGCCTGGGCAGCTTGGGCTGGGTCACGGGTATTGAGAACCTGGCACAGGCATCCCCGGGGATGAGGGACACTGTAGGGCGTGTGTGAGTGCGTGTGCAGACCCGCGCCATGGGCGTGCACGGGCACCCCTGTCAGTTTGTGGCCTGTGTGCAATAGGCAGGTGTGTGGTGAAAGAGCTTGCAGCCCAGGTGAGCTTGCAGCTCCAGCTGGTCCTGGAGAGTCCAGAGGCCCAGGAGAGGTGGGGGCAGCCTTATTATTTGGTTTGGGAAAGGTGGTGGGTACCTCTGGCCAAGGTCATGCCTTGCCACCCCTCAGTTGCCCTGGCATGATGCTGTTTATCCCCTCCCTAGGTGTCCTCATAGTGGTTTAGCCAAATTGGGGGACTGAATTGGAGGGAGGGAGGCTGGAGACAACATGATGTGATATGACCCCCAACATCTCAGCTGCCGCCTCCCACCAGCTGCCTCGGATCTGTTATCCTAGAGAGGAACTGCCTGCAGACAGGTGACAGAGAACATTCTGTTCTACCTTTTGAGCTGTGCTCAGTTATGCTCCCAGGTCCTATTGAGATTGAAATTTATGGAGCAAGACGGAAGCTTCCATTTTATGCTTAGCAATCATAGATACCCTGCTGTGGAGGACAAATCCTTGAAGGAAGCTGTTGCCCAGCTGTCCTCTCCAAAGACCCCTGCAAATTTGCTCTAGAAACATGCTGAAAGGCCTTTGGACTCCAAGCTACATAGAAAGTGACTAGAGTCGATAATTCTTGCTAAATCTTGAGGACCCTGGGGAATCTTGGTGGGTAGCTAATCCACCAGGAAAGAATAACATCAGGAGCCATTTACTGAACAGGTATTGAGGCCGGGAGCTCTACCAGGGCACTTTCATGCAATGTCTCATAGTAACCGCAGTCTGTGCGGAGCACTGTGAATGCCTCCAGATCACAAGGAAGGAGACAGAGGGCAAGAGAGGTGAGCCATCACCCAAGGCCCCGCAGTCAGCAGCAAAGCTGTCACCGAAACCAGGCTGTTTGGATTCTGAAGCTTCTCTCTTCCGCTGCTCTGCAAACTCACCGGGGTGCCACCCATCCCGCTGTCCTCACCCAGGTTTCCTCCTGAGGCCTGGAAAGGGCTGGCATCTCCTGCCACCAGCCTTTTCCCTACTGTGGCCTGAGAGGGTTTGGCAGCACCATTCCTCGCGGGCTCCTGAGCCACCCTGCTGTCCCCACAGTGATCATGTCCGATGCGGCGGTGGAACAGAGGCGAGCCTTGATCAGGAGGAAGAAGAGAGAGCGGGGTGACTCCCAGCTGCTAGGAGCAAAGGGTCTGACCCAGGAGCAGCAGATGATGATCAGGGAGCTGATGGATGCGCAGACGAAAACCTTTGACACCACCTTCTCCCATTTCAAGGACTTCCGGGTATGAGACGCAGCTGCTGGGCTCCTGCTCTAGCTCCTCAGACCCCCACTCTCATTCCCTGGGCTTCTAGAAGAACCTGGGCCAGCAGCAGCTGTGTCATCTGAGAATATGTTACACTGCCAATTCTCAGGTCACCCCAGACTTCCTGAATCATCCTGGGCCCTGCAGTCTGGGCTCTGCACACCCCCAAGTGATTCTAATGCAGCTCAGGTCTGACGGTGGCTGATTCCTCCCACAGATAGAAGTTGGGTCTGGGAGATGAACAGTACAATTGAAAGTTGTGGAGCCAGGGGGTGCTGGCTTTCAGGGCTTGGTGAGGACAGGGTCAGGGCCTGTTGGGGGTGTGTGACATTGGGGAACTGGTGAGCAGTCTCAGCAACATCAGCCATGTCTGAGCCCAGTGACCCCCTCTCCCTCTATGACCTGACCCCCAGCTCAGAGAAGTGTTTAGAGCAGTGGTTTCATCTTAACAGTCCAAGGTCAGGGATGCTTGGGGAAGTAAACTCATCTCTGACCAAGCTGGGGTGGGCGGGGTGGGGGGGGGACAGTGTTAATACACAGATATAGGAAAGGAAGCCACTCACAGGAGACTGGAAAGAAGAAATAAATGCCGTGTGTGTGTGTGTGTGTGTGTGCGCGCGCACGCGCTTGCATGCATGATCCTCAGGTTGCCACTATGGCTGCTCTTGTTGATGGGGCCCCTGTGGGAACATCTGTGGAGAATACATGCTGTGCCTCCTCTTCTCTCCTCATTCTGGCTCTTGTCCCAGCTGCCAGCTATGCTTGGCGGTGGCTGTGAGAATCCAGAGTCTCTGTGCACTCCATCAAGAGAGGAAGCTGCCAAGTGGCACCAGATCAAGGAGGACTTGTGCTCTGTGAAGGTCTCTCTGCAGCTGCACGGGGAGGATGGCAGCGTCTGGAACTACAAACCCCCAATAGACTGCAACGGGAAAGAGATCTTTTCCCTGCTGCCTCATATAGCCGACTTGTCAACCTACATGTTCAAAGGCATCATCAACTTTGCCAAAGTCATCTCCCACTTCAGGTAGGTACTCGGGGGTGGGGTGGTTGGGTGAGAAAGGAGTAGGACATGGCCAGCAGGCTCGAAGTGTGAGGTGGATCCCTGCGAATTTGGGATGTTGTACCAACAGAGCCTCCTTCCTCTCTGCCCCCAGGGTGCCTGGCAGTGCCAGCAATGGAGCCTATGTGTGGCTCGTCAGGAATTGTGAGCCCCCCAGGGTCCCTAGCACCATCTGAGTAGGGAGTCAGTAGCCCTGCAGTGCAGGGCTGTATGTGAAACACGAAAACATGTGCAGAGAGAGCAGCACATATACGGACGATCAGCAAGCAGCTACCCTGCCCTCACAAGGGGCAGGAGCACAAACTGGCATTGCCAAGCAAAGTAGGAGTCAGAAGGAAGTGGGAGTTGCGAGGGAGAAGGAGACAGGAGCAGATGCTGGGTCTCTGGTGGCCGGTCAGACCACCAGCGCATGGTGTGGAGGCAAAAATCAGGGCAGCAGAGATCTGGGAGAAAGGAATCCCCAGGCTCCTGCCTGGTGGCCCCTGTGTGGTCCTCTGGGGGTGCAGCTCCTCTGGGATTGGCTGCCTGGAGCTGAGTCACACACAACCAAAGCTGTGAGTTCATCAGAGACAGAGGGACATTTTCTATTCCAGTTTCCCAGCGGCTGTGGGTAACATACAGGACTCATTCAGTAGGGTGAGGGTGCCAGTAGGCTGGAATGGGGGGTGGGGTGGATTGTGGTAAACTGGGTCAAGGGAACAGGAAGAAAGGCTCATAGGCAGATCCTCACTGACCTGTGCTGACCCACAACTTAACAAGAGGGTAGGAGGTCACTTGTTGCCTCTTGTGACCTCTAGTTTTGCCCACAAATACCCCAGAAGGAGGCTTTATTATCTCCCTCATTCTCCAGCTACAGCTCTGAGGTGTGCGAGGGAAGGCACGTGCACAGGTCAAGCCAATGGTAATGACCAGGTTTGGAAGCACAGGGTGCAGGCTTCAGAGCCACTGCCTGCCAGGGACCCAGGGGAACCTTGCCTGGGAACCGGGGGCCACAGACAAAAGAAGCATCTTTAGCTCAGTGTTGGCTCAAAAACAAGAGTGGAGTGTGAGGAAAGGAGGGGCTTAATTCCCAAGGAGACCAGGGTCACACAAGAGGCCATCTGCAGAGCCATTCACGACCTCTCACTCTCTCCTGGACTACCAGTCCAAAGACTCCTTCAGAGGGGAGTTGGGGGCCCCTCTCAGGTGAGGCGGGAACAGTCCGTGCAGGATGGGAAGGACATCAATCTCACCATCAGTATCGGAGGAGGCGGCCCCTGTGGCAAGACCCCTGGGAGAGGGAACCTAGGCAGGCAGGCCTCCTGGAGACGGACAGTAGATCTGTCAATATAAAGGCAAACTGGACGACGGGAAGCAGATTCCTGCGGCGTGAGCACTGCCAAAGGGCGGCACTGGCAGGACTGTGCTAGGAAGACAGAAGAGGGAAACGTCAGCTTGGTCTAAAGGACCAGCAAGATTTACCTAAGGGAAGCTAAGAGGGCAATCATTCCAAGTGGGGAAACTGAGGCAGGCATGACGCACCAGGCCAGGAGCCAAGATGTAGGTATGCAGAGGAATGTGGCAGGGACGTCACCGACTCAGCCAAGTTCTAGAGGGGGAGACTGGAGGCAACGAGGAAAAACTGCAGTCGCCCCTCGGAGAAGGCACTCTTCTTTTCCCACTCCCGATTTCTGGATTATGAGGTTGGGTGCTAGTGTCCGCCTGGGCGCTCCCAGGCAGCTGGCATCTTCTCCCCCTCCTTGCTGCCAGGGACTTGCCCATGGAGGACCAGATTTCGCTGCTGAAGGGGGCCACCTTTGAGCTGTGCCAACTCAGGTTCAACACGGTGTTCAATGCAGAGACTGGGACCTGGGAGTGCGGTCGGCTGTCCTACTGCTTGGAAGACCCTGCAGGTGCCTGCTTGTCCTGGCAGCAGGAGGGGGACACGCCGTGGAGGGAGGGGGTGGCCTGCCAGGATGCGGGTCCTCGGAGTGTGGGTCTCTCGGGAGGGAAATTTAGGACTTGGCTCAGCTTTCTGGAAGTTGCTCCTCCAGCCTATACCCACCCACAGGCGGCTTCCAGCAGCTTCTCCTAGAGCCGGTGCTGAAATTTCACTACATGCTGAAGAAGCTGCAGCTGCGTCAGGAGGAATACGTGCTGATGCAGGCCATCTCCCTTTTCTCCCCAGGTGATGGCCCCACCTGTTCTGCTTGGCCTCCACGGCCCTCCCCATGCCGCTGAGGTGTAGCCCCTCACCAGGGACAGTCCTGGCCCATAGTCTTGCTCTCCATTCAATGCATGTCAGGCTGGGGACTCCCAGGTTTCGCCTCAGGTTGGCAGGGTGACACACAGCCCTCCTTACGCTTCCCTTACATCCCTGCCCTGGTGTCTCCAGCTGGACATTTGTCCTCTCTGGGTTGGCTGAGCTTGTCTTTGCCTGCTCTGGCTTTGCTGGCACCACACAGCCTTCCTCTCCCCACCAGACCGCCCGGGAGTAGTGCAGCACCAGATGGTGGACCAGCTGCAGGAGCAATTTGCTATCACCCTGAAGGCCTACATCGAGTGCAACCGGCCTCAGCCCGCCCACAGGTGAGCAACATGTTGGGGGGTGTGATGTTCCGGGCAGCCCTACCCGTCCTGCTCCCACCTGTCTTGGGTCTCTTGGGAGAGCAGCCCAGAGCGATTCCTGGCAGCCTCTGATGACCAGGGCTTTGTTTGGGGCCTTGTTCTGTGACCCCCCCACTGAAGGACTCCTGCCCAGGCTACCTGAACTCCTGCCCAACAATGGAGAAACCTGAGGAGGCCAGGGGACACTTGCTCCCTGATGTGAGAGCAGCTCACATATGCCCAGCTCCATTAAGGGTGGAAATAGGTTTTCACCTGAGGCTCCTACAAGGTATTCTAGCAATAACCAGCAATTACCACACTGATAATAAAGATTACATTAGGACAGTAATGATTAGAACAAGTCAATCTGTAACAGCTACCATTCGTTGAGAGGAGCCAGTCGTGGTGGCAAGCAGTTCACCCTCATCATACTGACTACAATCCTATGAAGTGGGTGTCGCCACCCACCAGCAAGGGAGTTGAGGTGGAGTGGCAGCCTGAGGGCTCACAGCCAGACAGATGGAAAGGAGGTGGGCCCAGGCCCAACAAGTCCATGGCCCACATGCTTGAACACCATGGAATCACCTTCCAGGAAAAGCACAAACAAAGGCAGGAAGCTCAACGTTGGTTCTGATCACTACCCAAAGGAAGGCTGTTCCGGGCTTGGCGGACAGGGGCTTCCAGCCGTGAGTCTCGGCAGTCCCTGAGGCCCCAGGCGTGGCGGGTGAAAGCCAAGACTATCATTTGAAGCCTCCAGTCCTTAGTTGGCTTTCTACAGCTGGCTTTTGGGCTCAGCATCCGGGGATGCTGGGGGTTGGGGGTGGCCATGTTTTGATTTGCTCAGTCCTTCGGCATCATGGGAAAAATGAGGCAAAAGAACGTCTCAGACACTGGATCCTAACTAGGTCCAGGAAGGGATTGCTGACAGCAGCCCCTGCCTCTACGCCACTTCACTCGTTCCTGAAGCACAGCCATTAGCCAAGGGGGTGATATTCCCCCAAATGGCCAATGCACTGGGCATTTGCAAAGCCTGGGATTCCCAAGGAGGAGGTGGCAGAAGCCCCCCGATCTCCAGTCCCTCACCCCTGAGCCTCCATAGGCTGTTCTGCTCTTCTAGTCCACACGCTGAAAGAGAAGATGAAGGAACTCTACCAAGTTTTGTTTCTTTGCAGATTGGAGATGTCCTGAGTTGAAAACACCCAAACTTGTGCAACATCAAGGTGGCCAGGGTGGGTGGGGCGGTGCTAGGGCAAAGCCACACCCCCAGCTTCCCTCTGCTTGGTCTGCAGGTTCCTGTTCCTGAAGATCATGGCCATGCTCACCGAGCTCCGCAGCATCAATGCCCAACACACCCAGCGACTGCTGCGCATCCAGGACATTCACCCATTTGCCACCCCCCTCATGCGGGAATTGTTCAGCATGGCGGATGGCTAAGCAGCTGTCCCTGGGGCAAGACTCCCCAGGCAGCCAGAGCCAAACCTTGGAGCTGCCAATCCTGGGGTTAGATAAATGGACACCGCTGAGAGTCCACAGTGATCTGTGGGTCTTGCCTCCCCCAGCGAACTCATAGGGCAGCTGTGATGGTGGCTGGTGGGTGTTCCTCACCCTCACCCACTCCACCCCCCCCCCAGCACAATTTGTGGAGACAGAGGCCATTAGGCTGTTCATGGAAAGTGTAATGGCCTATTGGTCAGGCCATTGAGAGGCAAGGCAATCCACCCCTTAGAAGAGGCCCTGTGTTCTGGGATGGAGTTCCTGGAGGAGAGGGGAAAGGCTGCACCACCCAAAGGTCTACATTCACACACGCGTCCACTAGTACTCTAGGGTACGACTTCCCACTCACGCCCAGGCCCCAGCATCCTGTCCAGCACTGATTCACAAGTTTCAGGCCTGTGTCCACCAGCCTGTGCATTGGTTCTATGGGAGTATTGAAGGCCTGCACTAAACATCAGAAGTTCATCATGATCTCTTTGCACATGTGATCTCCACTCCCGGCATCTCATTCTGTGTCTCTGTAGTCACTCAAATTAATGCTGAAGACTAACAATAGGCAACCAGCTGTGGGGTATACAGGCCTGACTCAGAAGTGGATTTAGAACCTGGAAATCATTGTTGCACAATAAAGAAAACAAAGCAGAAACACAAAAGTTGGTCCAAATTGATGGGTGGCACAGGAATTTCCATGTGTGGGTGCTGTTCTATGATGGGGTTTGGTGCACTGGAGGGGACCCAAGTGGCAGATCCCAGAGTGTCTGTGGGAGGAAGGGCACTAACTGGCTGCGTGCACAGTTGTGTGACTTGGTGCAGGTCTCCCCATCTGAGCTGGGGCTTGTGTTTGTTCTTGGGGCTCACACTGGGGTTGCTTTATGTGGTGGGCTGTGCTGACAGTTAAAAGACAAGTGAGAGCAAAACCATTTGAATGTACTGCATGTTCAGTTTATACATCTATTTTCAAAATTGAAGAGTATGGAAGTGTCTGCGTTGCACATAGTTGTTTTGAGTGAAGATTTTTTTTTGCATTTTTCACAAAATTTAATTTTACACAGGGCATTCCATACCTAAGAATTAGGCTTAACAAATATGTTCAGGAATTTAATGTTAAATCAAGGCCTGGTGATTTAATTAACTTCTGGCTAGTGAAGTTTTTTTTTTTTTTTTT